CTCCACAAAACACTGCCATGTTTTTTTCTCCTAGCAATAAGGTTCAGAGCACGATGCCGCCACCGCCCACCTAATGGTGTTGAGCAATGGGGATACCTTTTCATCCGGTTCTGGATGAATTATTTCCGTCCCAGATGCTTCAAACTCCATTGTTTCTCCGATGATCTGGGACCCCCATTGGAAGATATCAACTTCGGAGGTAGGTTTATGTACAAACAACTATTGTTTACTTATTTATTTTTCATATAGTTCTGTACACTGGGAATTTCACTTTCGATGTAAAAGTGAGTTTTGAGATTTATGAACTAGTAACATGCCAGATTATACCATTCTTGCAGGTTGGGTTATTATGGCTTGTCCTCTAGTCGTAAATTTAATCCAGCACGATATCAAAATCCCCTTCAATTTGTTCCATGGAGATGGAAGGTGAGAAGAATGATAAATTTCAGCTCTCTCTTTAGTTACTTCTTCGTCTTTGAATAATTGTTTTGTTTAGTGTACTAGAATATAACAAAAACAAATAAGTTTTTAGTCCAAAAGATCAGCTTGGATTATAAGCTAATTGAAATTACATTAATACGACAACTCATGTTTTTTTTTTTTTTAAAAGGGATTTAGAGTTATTTTCAGGTTCCAATTAACTTATAAAATTCTCAAGGATAGTCCAGGAGATTTTATAAATTAATCAGTGCTATATGGTACAATACACCCAAGGGCTCTACCCATGGGATGAACATATATACCACATAGTTCCCTAGAGTCACTCCTCCCTGAATTTATTAATATATAAATCGAAAGCAAGGGAAGAGTATAGTCGTACCCTTGCTAATTACATCCAACCCTGTCATTTTAATCTTACTCTCAAGTAAGGAAAAGAAATTTGATCTAGCATTACAAGACCCCTAATATCTCTAGGTAATCCTATAGCATTAGGAAATACTTGTGAAATGCCTCTAGACGCCTGTCTAGCAAAGCCATCCGCAATGAGTTAGCTTCCTGAAAATGTGAGATATCCGGTATGATCTTCTATCCATGATAGAGTGAATTTCCATTATATGTGCATAATATTTCCAAGGCACCGAATATAATGACCCCATAATGGATACCAAAGCCATATTATCAGATTGAATTTCCACGAGATCCAACCCTAGGGAATCGCATTTCCGCACCCCGAATAAAATACCAAAGACCTCAGCTCCAAAGCTGTCACCATCGCCTAAATAGCCACATTCTCCATATATAAAACACCCATCATGCTTCCTGATTACAAAACCATAACCTGCTTCTCCATCAATAACAGAACCATCCGTATTCAAGATGTAACCTTGCTGCATTTGCGCTTTCCATTTGACTACATTACAACTACGCCTTTGAACCTCCTTTAGCTTAATACCGAATGCTTGGTCAATGAAATCTTGTTCCAATACCGATGCCGCCTTTATTTTGTGGATCAGCAATACTTGTCTAATGTCCGTATTCACTTTATGCAAGACATTTCGAACCACAAAAACTTCACCATCAAAAAGGACTTGATTCCTTAATTTCCAGATTTCCCACAAAATAAAAGAAGGAAGCATAGCAAGCAGACTCTTCCTGGCCGTTGTGAAACTACCTTTTTTTCCCCCAATATATTAAAACATTTAGCAATGTCATGTTACTCTGTAGCTCAATGTCAAAAAGACGTGCATAATGACTCCAAACTCGAAATACTAGGGGGCAGCCATAAAAACAGTGTTGAATGGAATCATCATGCATTTTACAAAAGCCACATATAGACGGCCAAACCTGCATTCCGAATCGAGACAATATTTCTGGGAAGGGAATGAGAAGATTTTGAAGCTTCCATAAGAAAAAAGACACTTTCAGAGGTATCATTTTATGCCATAATTTTTTGGCTAGCATGTCCACTGGTTGTCTCCGCCGCACTAGGGTATAAGCCGACTTGGTAGAGAATACGCCAGTGGTCATTCCTTGCCAAAAAACAATGTCTCGCTTTTCCTCAAAAATCGGTGCCATATCATGAAGAAAACGCCCAACCGTAGAATGAAAAAAACCCTGAAAAATAGGGAAAAAAACATCCTTATTAGTAAAGAAATCATGAATAGTAAGGTGAGAATTTGGCGGTGTTGAAGCATCATCAGTCCATAGTACTCCTTCCGGTGCCCAATTATCATGCCAAAAAGACCTATCCCCCCCTTTAATAAGGACTTTGGTTTGCCTTCGCGCAGCAGAATCTACTTGTTGAACTCGGGTCCAAGTGGTCTTCGCCTTAGCTGAATCCGAAAGAGAAAGGACAAATTTGCTCCATAATCCCTTCCTTTGATGAACCTTCCACCATAGTTTTAAGGAAAATGCAAGCACCACATCCTGAAATCTCCGAAAACCTAGGCCATTCTCTTCAGTTGGATATGCCAATTTTTCCCAGGATCTCCAATGCCGTTTTTGTTCTTCACCAAGGCCTTGCCATAGGAATCGCTGACACCTCTTTTCCAGCTGTTTAATAATAGAAATTGGCGGACTTATGGCTGAGAAATCATGTATTGGTAAAGCCGATAAGACATGCCTTAAAAGGACAAGTCTTCCTCCCGGGCTTAGAAGCTTATTTTTCCAACTTGAGAGCTTTTTATCCAAGGAATCCAATAGGAACTGAAACGTAGAGGCTTTCTTCCTGCCATAGAATAGTTTACACCCCAAATACATAAAAGGAAAAGATCCTTTTTGTATCCCAAGTTCACTAGAAATGGTTTGAACTCGTTGCGCACTACAAGTGTCAACCACATAGAATGCACTTTTCTGTTTATTCATTTTTTGTCCCGAAGCTTCTTCATAGTCCGCTAAGAAACCTGTCAAAGCTTTTAAAGATTTCTTCACACCTCTTGTAAAGATAATTAGATCGTCCGCAAAGCAAAGATGCGTAACGGCTAGGGAACCTGCCGGCGTACCATACATCTCCACTTTCCGCTCCCGAACTAAGTATTTTAGCCTTCTCGTCATAGCTTCAACCACCAATATGAATAGGTAAGGCGAGAGTGGGTCACCTTGCTTAATCCCACGACTTGATTTGAAAAAACCAGCCGGGGAACCATTTATCAAGACCGAGAACCAACTATTCCTCAAGTTGTTCATAACACATATTACAAATTGCACCGGGAACCCTAGCTTCAAAAATACCTTCTCCAAAAAGCTTCAAGACACCATGTCAAAAGCTTTCATCATATCTATCTTTATGGCCACATTATTACCCACAGCTTTATATTTTAGGAATTGACATAGATCCTGGGCCAAAACGACATTGTCGATGATATCCCGCCCTTCAAGGAAAGCTGATTGCTCCTCCGATATAATCTTAGGCAATACTATCTTTAATCTCTCTGTTAAGATCTTCGTAAAAACTTTATTGAGAAAGTTACAAAGACTTATTGGCCGGAAGTCAGAAAATGTGGAAATGGACGACTTCTTCGGGATTAAAGTGATTACCGTACTTGCTATAGCTCTCGGAATTGGGACACCCGCCATAAATTCATTGCAAGCATTCATCAAATCCTCAGCAATTATATCCCAACACGAACGATAGAAGGAGCCTCCAAACCCATCCATTCCTGGCGCACTTTCTTCACTTAGACCAAACACGGCTATCTTTAATTCCTCCAATGAAACCGGTCGAATAAGCATAAGCTTCTCATTGTCATCAAGTTCATCTTGAAAATGCTGAAGAAATAAATCCTGCTTTATATTCTGATTCTGAGACGTGGAACTTTCGATTAATAGGCTTTTAAAAAACCTGATGGCCTCATTTTCAATATCCAGCAACTCAGTCAAACTTCTTCCACTTTCCGTTTGTATTTTCTGGATTCCCAATCTAACTGTTTTATCCACCAGTGAAGCATGAAAGAAAGAAGTATTTAAGTCTCCTTCCTTTAGCCATTTTAGTTTCATTTTCTGCCTCCAGAAATCCTCGTGTTCCTTCAGCTTTTGCAATAGAAAAGCATTTGCCTCCGAAAGATTGATTCTGTCCGAAACTTGTCCCGAGCGATCATAAACGAATTCCATTTCCTTCATCTTTTCTTCTGCCTTCTTTAAATTCTGGAAAACATCACCAAAATTATTCTGATTCCAATCTTTGAGTTTCACCTTGAGCCTACGCAGCTTAGTAGAGAAAGCAAACATTCCGCTGCCTAGGACCGGTTGCGACCAACTTTCTTGCACCACAGCCCTAAATTCAGTTCTGCGCAACCACATTTGTTGGAATCGAAATAGACGAGGCTTAGTTGCTACTTGAACATCAAACTGAAGTAGCAAGGGATTATGGTCTGAAGTTGTCCGGCTGAGATGCTCAATGGAGTGGTTTGGAAACATGTCTAGCCATTCCTTAGTAAAGAGAATTCGATCCAGTTTCTTACTAACCCATCCCGTATTTCTTGTGCCACCCCATGTGAAATCCTCCCCAACCGAAGAAATTTCAAGTAGATCAGCCGATTCAATGGCCTAATTAAACTCCTCTATTGCGCCAATATCTTGAACCGTGTTTCCAAAATATTCCTCAATGGTTCTTATTACGTTAAAATCCCCACCAATCATCCAAGGATATGTTGGATTCCTTGCACGGAAGAGCTCCATATTTGTCCAGAGAATCCGCCTGTCAACCTTGTTCGATCTTGCATACACAGAGGACATAAGAAACTGTTTTTGTGTTGGAAGGTGGCACACCTCCATATGCATTACTTGTCCAGCATCCTCTATCATTTTTATTGTGTACATCCTACTGCTCATTACCCAGATTTTACTTGTGCTAGACGAGAATGCATGATCCAGTCTCAATTCCCTTCTTATTTCGTCAAGTTTATTAGCTGGAAGCATTGGCTCCAGAATAACCACCATTGCAACTTGATATCTTTGCATAAGAGTCCTCAAGCGTCGCTGAGATGCTTGTTTTTTTATTCCACGAACATTCCAAAAAATGACACTAATCATTGGAAATTTTTAAAGGAAAAGAGAACTACTTATTGAAAGCGAAGTGATCGCCGAAGCTCAGCCCCTTCAAGCTCCTTGGCGATTTGCTCCCTTGTTTTCCTACCGCGTTTCTTTTTCTTTACCCCAGTCTTGATCCCACGTTCAGTATCCAATGTTAGCCTTTCCTTATCCCCTTCTGACCATGTTCCCCTATCAGTAGCAGCATCACTTCCATCTTCACTTTCTGCTGGAAACGAATCATCAGGGTATTTCAGTGATGGCTTAATAATTTCTGGTTGCAGAATGTCATTAACTGTCACAGCTTCCATTTCTAGACCAGCCACCATTTCTGAATTTTTGCCATACAATCCTTGAGGACCACCAATCACGGATTCTCTACCCGTAACCAACGTAAGATCAATAATAGGATCCTCCTCATCACCATTTCCAGATACATCACCATCATCATCACAAATCTGAAGGAGCGCAAATTTATTCCCTTGCTCAATGGCTACATGAGGTCCATTTCTTTCATCTAGATCGAGTTGTGACGTTTGCAACTGTAACCCAGCATCCCCTTGCGCACTATGACCCAGGTGCAGATCGTCAACAACTATAGTTTCCAAAGTCTCTGGCTGGGCAGAGTTACGCTGAGTGTCGAAATCCCCTTGCGCCTTCGAGCTCAGTCGCAATTCGCTCGCAACCTGAATCTTTGGATCAACTACGGCATTATCGTCTCCTTCAAAGAGAATCACATCATTCACAGTCTTATCACCCGAATCTCGTTTCGGACTACTTTCAAAATCAACATTAGTGTTGATAGCCTTAGGTTTTGCAAAAAAGCTTGCAAATGTGCGGCGTTCTGCCGCAGATGGTGGTATTCCGGCCATGATGGCCGGAAAAGGTAGCCTTCAATTCTAGGGTTTGGGACGTCGACAACTCATGTAATAATATACTTTTTCCATACAATTTTTCTTTCTTTCTTAATACTAACTTTTCCATTTTTCATGCAGGGGATTGATATGAATGGGGCAACTAGAAAATTTCATGGCATTGGGAGGAGGCCTGAGTTTCCCTAATCTCTATTGGTGCGGGCTTCGCCAATTTGCAAATGGCTATCCTTCTTCAATGTTTAGTTACCAAGTATAAGTGAGAACCAATGAATACTAGTCTATTATCTTAATTTATTGCAATTATAAAATACTTCTCGTCCCCAAAATAATTATGTTCAAGTTAATTTATAGCTAAAATAACACAATAGGGACACATTGTACTCCTATATCTTTTTTCTTTCAATTTTTGACGGGAGGTTGGTATGTATATAAATTAGACTGAGGGCAAAACTGACGATTTTTTGTTCAAATAATTATTTCCACGTAATAAGCCATCAAGGGAAGGGACATACGAAGAACTCTTGAATTACAATTTTCAAGTGGTTTCATATTCAATTTTGTGAAAAGACAGAAAAAAAAAACCCTATCGGGTATATCTAGTGCGGGGAAGAGTAAAAAAGAGAACTTTTTTTTTAAAAGCAAAATAGAAAGGTTAGGACAATATTCAGGTAGCACCTAACTGAAAAAAACTCAAGAGGTATATCCAAGGGGTATGTTTTGAGTCAGCCAGTGCTAGATAGTACAATGCACCCAAGGGGTCTACTCAAGAGATGGACATATATACTATCCAGTTCCCTAGTCTCCTCCCTCCCTGTTTTTTATTGATATAGCAATAAAAAGTATGGCAGTGCATAAGACTTACCATATACAAAAGGAAAGCAATCCTCGCCAGACTGTCTGCAACCACATTACCTTCAGTGTAGATATGAGTAACAGTGTAGCACATACGGAATATGATTTCCTTGAGCTCTTTATGCTCAAAAAAATATTTCCAAGGTAGAGCATTCTCTGATTTAGAAGATCCGCAAGAGCTGTATTGTCCGTTTGAATTTCCACTAGCTGAAGTCCCAAAGATTCACACTTACGAGCTCCAAATAAAAGTCCCATAACCTCAACCATCAAACTATCTCCATCGCAAAGCTAACCAGTTTCTCCATAAAGATATTTCCAAGATGACCCCGTATTAAGAAATTGTACCCAGAATCAGAACCCCTATCAATCGAAGAACCATCATAATTTAAAACGAATTTGTTAAAATCTGGCGGCTTCCAAGCAATCCATTTGAGTGTTCTACGCTTCAGCTTGAAATGGATAGATGGAAAGATATTCTCCATGAAAACTTTTTGAGCATTATTTCGAACTTCAACCTTGTTGATAGAGAAAACATGCTCCAAGTCTTGCATGACAACTTTCACTATTACTTGGTGCGGAGTACAAACAACATCAAAAATTGCTTTGTTTCTAGCCTTCCAAACTTCCCAAACAACAAAAGTTGGGATCAATTCAAACAAAACCTTCCTCGCTGTAGTGGAAGAGCCTTGCGACCACCAAGCATTTAAGAAGTGACTCAAAGTATGTGCAGCAGGGACAAAAGAATTCAAAACATTTGCAAAAAAAATCCCAAACGCAGTGCACCTTTGGGCAGCTAACAAAAAGATGGTTAACAGATTCTTCACTATTTCCACATCCATAGCACCTCGTTGGAAATGAAACAAAGCCAAAAGTATTAAGTACCTTCGGATATGGAAGCAACACATTTCTTAGTTTCCACATGAAAAAGGAAATCCGGAGAGGAATAAGTTTGTGCCAAAAATTCAGGAGACTTACAACTTTATTCCGCCTAGTCCGCGATGCTTCATAGGTTGATTTAATGGAGAAGGATCCTATTGGTGAGGGCTGCCAAATGATCAAATCCGCACCACCAGAAAAGTGAAGTTCAAGGGTCCTTAAGGTTTCAATTGTCTCATGGGAGAGATGTGTAGTTGCACCCGCCAAAAGGTCATCCTTGTTTTGAAAGAAATCTCGAATTATAAGGCTTGGATTTGGGGTACTTCTTTCGGGATGTCCCAAATAACTCCCAACCTTGACCAATTATCGTGCCAAAAACTTCTATCACCTCCGCGCACTAGAACTTTAGGGATATTGGCTGCCATGATATCAATCTTCTTAATCCTCATCCATGAAGTTTTTTCTTTGCTGAATCGGACAAGGAAGATAAAAAGTTATCCCATAGACCCATCAGTTGCTTAAATTTCCACCAAAGGTTGGATGAAAAGGCAGCAATCATGGTTCTGAAATTTCTGATACCAACACCGTTTTCATCAATAGGATAGGTTAAACGACTCCATAATCTCCAATGTCGTCTTGATTCTTCACTTGGACCGCACCATAGGAATCTTTGGCATTTCTTTTCCAACTCATCAATAATCGATTTTGGAGGCTCGATAGCTGCAATTATATGAATCGAAATGGCTTCTAAAACATGCCTAATTAGCAAAAGCCGACCACCTTGGCTTAGCATTTTGTTCTTCCAATTTTGAAGCTTTGCATCAATTTTATCAAGGAGAAATTGGAAGATTGAAGCATTTTTTCGTCCATAAAACAATCTACATCCAAGGTACACAAAAGGAAAAGAACCTCTTTGCATATTGAGTGTCGATTTAATCGTCAACACCCTAGAGCCGCAGCAATCCTCCTTGACATAAAATTGGCTTTTTTGGCGACTTATTTTCTGGCCAGAAGCTAACTCATATTCTTAAAAAAAAAACCATTCAACTCCTCCAAAGATGCTTTCAGACCCTTTGTAAAATTATGAGATTGTCTGCAAAACATAAATAAGACACAGGTAAAGAACCAGCAGGAGTACCATAATTGGCAATTTGACCTTCTCCCATTAAGAATTTCAATCACCTCGACATGGCCTCTGACACAAGGATGAAAAGAAAGGGCGATCAGGGATCTCCTTGTTTGATGCCCCGAGTTGCTTTAAATAATCCAGTGGGACTACCATTGATCAATATAGAGAACTAGCTATGCTCCAAGTTGGACATGATTAATGATATGAATCTTATTGGGAAACCAAAACCTTGCAGCACTTTCCTCAAAAAGCTCTAAGAAACACGATCAAATGCTTTCATCATATCAACCTTGATTATGAGATTATCACCCATAGCTTTATGATTGATGAATTGGCATAAGTCTTGAGTTAACACAATGTTGTTCGTGATTTCCCTTCCCACTAAAAATGCTGATTGCTCTTCCGATATCAACTTTGGAAGAACTAACTTCAATCTCTCCATAAGGACTTTAGTGAAGATTTTATTGATGAAAGGTACAAAGACTTATAGGCCTTCCATCCGAGAAAGTAAATGAGAACTCTTTTATTGAGAAATTGATAGATTGTATATACTATCTATATAATGCCCATCCTCAGTATATAGTGACTAAAAGTTTTCATCGAGTAGAAAAAGAAATGATAGATACGAAAAAGTTAATTTTTATAATCGAATTGAAAATGTTAAGTTAAGATAGGGGAATCGCTTAGCACCTTTTCGAATGCCAATAAAGCAAGATTGATACAGTACATATAATGAAAGACACTTTCTTGACAGTCAGCCTTTCCCACTTGATTTTTCTATGCATACTCAAGTTATTCAAAGATTTTGATACCCTTCTAAATATATCTATCGGGAGATAAATTTGGCCATGCATAGTAAAAAGTACTCCCTCCATTCCAAAATAAGTGTCGTTTTGGCAAAATGGAGAAATTCCAAAATAAGTGTCATTTTCGGATTCCAATACATTTTTGTCAAAAATTTCCAAACATATCCTCAAAAGAAATAATATTATTGGTGAACATTTATTTTAATAGGGTTGGTTGAGGATATTCTAGTAATATTGTTACCTTATTTAATATTTTCTTAAACTATGTGCAAACTCTAGAATGACATTTATTTTGGAACGGAGGGAGTATTGATTTAAGAGAGAAAAATTCCATTACGATGTGTGACAAGAAGTTAGTTGAAAATTAATATTTTGATAAGGCTATCCGAAAACTAGCCTTCCTTGTATTATAAAATTTTAAATGGCTATTTTTAATTTTTTTTCATGATAAACCCGATCTATGTTAACGCAACGTATTGGAAAAGAGAGGGACAATCAAGCCGTATAGAAAAGAGAGAAAATAATAGAAAAACTAGCTGACCATTTAATGTTGTGGGATTATGTTAATCTGTTTAGCAAAAGATCCAAAAAAACTAGCTGACCACCCCCTTTTTTTTGTTTTCTTGTGATAATTTTAGTACATTCCAGCTCAGTTTCTACAACTGATTATAAACTCCTTAATTTATGGAGGCTTGTTATAGTAGTATGAAACTCTTCGCCATCAGCTTAGTTTTTGCTTACTATGAAGTAAAGAATTTTATCCAACTCTTTTATAGCTGCATACGATGATCACATCGAGGTTCTTAATTTTTCCATGATTAATTATGCAGCCAAAGTCTCTAATTAAAATTAACCACAAATAGTAAATCAAGCTCAACAATATTTATAATATTATACTCGATTATTATTAATATCAATTCTTTTATCTGTTATAATCGTAAGTATTTGTTCTATTGCCCATGAATTCATTCTTGGTTAAGAGATCTTGAATTTTTTTGAGATCTTCACTTTGAATAATTTCTAATTCATTTTCTTTTTCGTAGATCTTCTTTTTAGGTAAAATATCTGTAGAAAAAGTATCAATTACCAGGTAACTTCTTAAAACTTAAAACCTATCCATTCTTCATTACATTTTGTTTCTCGGCAATTTTTATTTTATATTTTTGTATCAGATGTGGTCATGGTTTAATAGCAATTTCAATTGGTTGTATGATGTTAATGATGAACAAATGTTTTGCATTGATTGAAGCAACCCGTGAAATATATGTAAATATTGCCTATCTAATTTATGTTAGTTATTATTATTTATGGAACCTTAATACGTGTATAGTCTCACCCCTTGCATGCCTCTCTCATTTACTACTCTAGATTTTGTAACCTTTTTTTAAGCAGAAAGAAAGGTTAGGATGATATTCAGGTTCTAACTAGCTCAAAAAAGCTCAAGGGGTTTACCTAAGGGGTAAATTTCTGAACTAGTTAGTGTCATATAGTATAATGCACCCAAGGGGTCTACCCAAGGGATGGACATATGTACTATATAATTCCCTAGCTCCACCCCTTCCTATATTTTATTAAATACCAATAAGAGAACTTGGTAGTGCTTAAGACTTACCAGTATACAAAGCTCAAAAAATTATACTATTTGGATCTGATATAAGGGAATGAGCAATGGTCCAAGATTATAAGACCTCGCACTTCCCTTGGCAGTTTTGAAAAAAAATCATAAGAGATTGTAGTCCCTGAAGAAGCCATTTTGAAGTGAGCATCTGTAACCGAATTTGCTTTCTTATTAATATGAGAAACAATGTACCTCCTTCTCTTAACAATAGTTACAATTCCTTTCACTTCTGATAGGTATCTCCAAGGAAAATTATCCTCCTTTAAAAGCATGTCAGCCACCAGTTGGCTATCTGTTTGTATATTAACTTGCCCTAATTCAAGACTCTCGCGTTTACGAACACCATGCAAAACTCCTTGAATTTCAGCCATCAAACTATAACCATAGTTCAGGAATTTAGTTTCACCATATATAAAATTACCTCTATCGCTGCGTATAGCAAAACCATAACCTGAATTTTCGGGAGTTCCAAGAGCTGAACCATCTGAGTTCATTACGTAGCCATTAGGTTTTGGACGTTCACAGGTGACCAGCTTCATCTCTCGAGCTTGCATTACCCGCTGTCTAACTCCAAACAGAACCTCCAATTCCCTAGCCTCTAATGCAGATTTAGCTTCACATTGTGAACATGTAGCATTGATCTAACATGATCATTTAAGGCATCAACAATCCTTGAGATCGAGAAGGATATGCCTCGAAAGATTTTTGCATTTCTTGCTTTCCAAAGTTCCCATGAAATGAAAATGGGTAAAGCCATGAAAACACTCCGTTTAGCTGATGAAAAATCCCCTTGCGACCACCACAGCTTTATAGTTGACCAAAGCCCCAAAGTCGGTTGCAAAAAAAGCCCCACCCTAGCAGCCATAGTATCCCAAACCATTCTCGCTGTTGGACATTCATAAAACCCGTGATTTCTGGTTTCATGGTTCGCAAAACACAAAGGGCATATTGAGGGAAATACCAACAAACCAAACCTCTTAACAACATCAGAAAAAAGGCAAAAGACGATTATATAGTTTCCAAACAAACACAGAAATTCTCATAGGAATTAACTTGTGTCATACCTTTGCCATCATCTCGTCATTCGGCTTTCTCCTTCTCATAGCTCCATAGGCTGACTAGATTTTGTAACTTTTACCTTTTTATGGTAACAAAAATAGATAGCCACAGTAATTATTACGCTAAAATGATTTAATAGTATTGTATGAAAATACATGTTTATTTGTCCCCTTTGTATGATTTATGTTAGAAAATGAGATATACGGTTGATGTGTCTTTCGTTCACATGTGCACAATCTCAATAAATGAATTTATTGCCTATATCATTTCTAGATACTCACAATTAATCCCATGAAATTAAAGTAAGTGCTTAGTTTTTTAATTGACAGTATAAACACAATATATTGTGGTAGAATTATTATAAAGATCATTTGAAAGATTAAAATTATTATAAAGGGTGTGGGTTTAAATGATAATATATTACAATACTTTCATTATTTTTCTATATAGCAAATTACTATGTTACCCTCTTATGCACGGAACCAACAACCTAATCATCCCTTCCTCTTCGATTCAGAGTTGATTTACCATGATTGCGCTTTCAAAAATTGCATCAACTAAAGTCATCTCTATACGCAGCAAGAAAAATAAATTAAATTTTCCTATATTCCACTCTCCTTTCGTTTGCTTGAACAAGATTAACATGAGTTATCTACCTAGATCTAATTTAGGAAACCAAGATAGATCCCACTTTCTGTGCGGGTTCATAAGCAGTGATGTCAAATTGTCAAGACATAGTGTAAGTTTTGTACTACTTTTGAGTGGTGATGCCTCATCGGAATCAAGGAAGACTTTTTTTTTTTTAGCGTCGTATGTCCTAAGAGATTTGATGGAAGACTGAGAGGTAGAGGGGATGATAATTGATTTGTGGAGACTGATTAAGAGGAGAATAGTCAGCCGTTTATTAGAACATCCCCACATGGGGAATAAAGAAAAAGCATGGATTTGATGAGTATGAGATGGAAGACTCATAATTGGATTATGAGGACTGCAGATTCAATGTGTAATTGCATTTTTTTTAACCTTTAATTTTGGAAAATTGGAGAACTAACAGGCAAAAAGAGGATGAAAAAGTTTAGGGAAAGAAGAAGAAGGGTAATACCGTCTTTGACGAGTGAATACATTTTTGAAAATTGAGAAATAAAACTCATGCACTTTTAAATAATTTTCATCTTTCTTATGCCCTAAAAAAAAATTTTCCCAATATATTGTCTCATTAATCACTCGGCTCCTCTATAACTAATCCATTTTGCTGCTCTTTCTCCCTCATCACCCAAGCAAAATTCTCATAAGCCGAGAATTTTAGCTCATTCCTTTTGTTCAAGTTATGCGATCCTTATAAAGATCTCTGGTATAAGTTATTAAAAAATAAACCCCCTCCCCCCCAAGGCCCCTACACACACATATTTTCTAAAACTCAACTAGTAATCACGTTTATGAAGAAGAAGGATTTTCTTTGTTAGGCCCATCACAATTTATGATATTTGAAGGTCTTAATTTTGTCACATTGAACTTAATTTGTTACACTCTTTTTTTGTGATTTTGATGAATTAATTAATTGAGGTTTAAGGTGTTTCATTGGAAATCTATAATTGGAAGGGGGAAAAAAAACCGTTTATAAAGAATCTTTGCGAATTAATTTTTCTTGTTTTCTGATTCCGGATTTTTCTTTATTTTATTTTTTCAGGTAATTATTTATTCTCAAATGTTCTAAATTAAAGATAAAACTGAAGGTGAACTTATAATTGCAAATCAAGTACAGGAGACTTGATTGAGCTCAATAAATCATTCATCCCCAAGTAAGTCTTTGACCTCATAAAATATGTATGCTGAATTTCTATATATATACAAGCATATCCATATGTACTTTTTACAAGGAAATATGTTTACACATGTAGTCCATTTATGCATATTTGTATATAGCTCTTTGGAGTTTGCAAATGAAATTAATGTATGGATTTCCATATCTTACAGCTTGAGTTATTTGCCAATTAAGTGTATCACTAGCAGGGTTTACATATTGATCTCATTCTCATCTACTTGTTCTAAAATAATTTTTACCATGAAATGATTGAAATAATTGTTCCATTTTCTTTTGGTGGTGTTAAAAAATTAACACAACGGTTTTGAAAATGGATGAGTTTCCATGCCGGCCTCAAAGGCCATCACTTTACGACTTTGGTTTGCCTGATCTCTGGAATCTTAAGTGGGAAAGAACCAGAAGCCTGATCATGGATGAGTTTCCATGCCGGCCTCAAAGGCCATCACTTTACGACTTTGGTTTGCCTAACCTTGGGAATCTTAAGTGGGAAAGAACCAGAAGCCAGGCCTCAGACTACCCAATACCTTGTTGGCAGGATCCGACCAGATTTCCCAAAACTTCCGTAATGCCATCCTCATCCTCTTCATCAAGGTCAGGGTGGTCACAAAGACAGTTACCTAAATTTGGTTGTGCTCTTTCACCATAATTAATTCCAGCAATTCAAGACATTTCAAAACAAAACCATTCCATATATGGTTCTGTTACAGATATACAATCAGCTCGGCCTACTGTTATAGAAACTTCTAGTGAACTTTGCAACAAGATTCTCAACAAATATCTAACATCCCAGACAAATGAAGAAACCCCTACTGCATCACGCGGTATGATTTTCAGGTCACCTCCGCTATGTAGGGATGTGTTCGACTTTGCGGCCAAAAAACCGTCAAGTATGGGTATTAAAATCCCTAAATCTGCGGGAGCTGCTTCCCAAAGGCTGTCATCCAATGCTATTCGTCACTATGCTTCTAGGAAAAATTAGGGGCTTTTCTTCTATGGGACCACCTAATGTGTACTTCAATGTCATTGATAAGGAGTTAGCTGCCATTGATACTCTGAATAGTCGATTTGCGATTGACGAAACAGACATTTGTAAAAATAAATGTGCCAGAGAGAGGAACACTGTTGCTACAAAAAAAGGGGCTGAGGAGGAGTATAAACAAATTGAAGAAGAGGATGCCAAAATTCAGAAGATGGGGACTAGAAAGCCAAGTCATCCCAATCGTCATCAGGGTTTGAACCTTGGCAAACAAACATATGAAAGTAGAATTCCGAAGGTCCATATACAATTAACTCCTGATGAGATTGTAGAGGATCTCCTTGCTCTTCGAATTGGAACAACACCTCAAAGGAAGCCAAACATTAATAAGGCCAGCAAGGGTGCAGGGAAACATTAATGTAAGTTTACAGATTTATTGGCTGGATTTACTTTTTTTTTTTTTTGGGGTTTCTGATTTGATGCTTAATCACTTGATTTTGTTTATGGTTTTTTTTTCCTGTTGATTTCAACAAGTGACTCCAGGAACATTGTTGGAGCACATTGAAATGGACTGTTTCAAAGGGCTAATTTAATATTCTTATGTACATTCTTCAATTACACACACTCATATACTAATTTATGTTTTCTTGCAATGCAGAATCACAAGAAGAATAACACGAAAAAGAATAGCAACAAGAAGAAAACTAGAAGTAGACACTGGTCATTGATAATGTTGTATGCACACCAATCTTTTCCCCGGGGATAAATAATATATAGATTTTGTGTTGTGCATTTTTTTTTTCTTTTGTGATAATTTCTTAATATTCAAAAATTCAGTTTCTACAACAATATAAGTCTTTGTCCTAGTACTGAAACTCTTCATCATTAGCTTGGTTTTTGCTTTCTTTGAAGTGCCATATTTTTATTACCATCTTTATTAATAAGAAATTGTCAAATTTAAAGATAAATTAGCGGCATGACAATCTTTGACTAAGGTTCATCATGTTGTGATGAACAACTATACTCTTCTGAAAATTTTCATTACCTGTTTCAACACCAACTTTATTCGTTATTGTTAAGTGTTATTAACAAAGATTCAGCTTTTTTTTCTTTTTTTTTTAAAAAAAATTGGATTGCCCCAGCGAGAATAGTACCATCGACCTTCCGGTAATAATCATCCCCCATCCTAACCCCCTAACCACCCCACCAATCCCTCCCATCCCTTGTTTCTTGTTTTGTCTAGCTTTTATCCAGATAAAATATCTTCAAACAAGCCAATTACAAGGTTAATTTCTTTTCTTTTTTTGTTGAATTTATCCTTCCGTTAATAGCTTTCGTTTCTTGAAAATTTTCGTATTAATACACTATTGATTTATTAGTAATTTGGCTCGGTTGAATCAAGTCAATGATTAACTATAATACATTTTTTTATACAGATTAATTATCGTATATTGACAAGACAAATGAAATTAAGATAATGATTGTGTGGAAAATTTATTCGTTTACTTAAATATTTTCAGCACCACGTATAATATCTTTTTTGTTGTTCCATAATAATGCTTAAAAAAATGTAACAAAAACAGAAGAAAAAAATGTTTGTCATGGAAGCCTAGAAGAATCCTGTCAGGAAGCCATTCAATGACTATAAGCTAGTGTCAAGCCAAAAACGTAATCTCAAATGCGAATCTATTCTAAAACCATGCGATAAGTTATATATGGAAGTGATATATTCTCTATTAATTTGGGAAGCTGTTAGTTGCCTTCACAGCTGAAAATGATTATAATAGACTACAGGTCGCTCAAATGATGTTCTTTTTGTAGATGTTCAAAAAAACTTAAGCCTAGATGTGTCCTAGGATATTAAGCCTCTTTAAACTGTTTAAACTCATAACCACAAATAGGGGCTGAAAGTGTCATGATCTAGCTAGAGGTAAGGTTACGTTGCATAGTACACCCAATATTGGGAGGTGTTGTGTTACATTCACATCAAGGTATATGCATGGAAGGTTCATAAAAAATCTCCTTCTAATAGAATTCATACTTATTTCTTGAAATGATTAATTCCATTTCCACATTGGGAGTGGTTCTCATCATGATGAAAATCACACTAAGTTATAAGCAAAATCAAAGAAAGGGACTCGCTCTGACCACTAAGAGTACATAACAATTTCATATTTTTCCACTATATCTCATCGTAGTATATTCTAAAATGAACTTGCAAGTATAATTTCATATGAGATCGATGAAAAAATATTTAAATTTTTTCTCAACCAATTTCATATTTTACACTTTATCTCATCCTAGTGTATTCTAAAATGAACTTGTACGTATAATTTGATATGAAATTAATGAAAAAATATTTAAATTTTGTTTCTCTTCAATTAATTATTATACTTGCTAATATGCATTCTAACAACTAAAATGAGGTTGGTCAAACCAGTATTGTTCGTTAATAAATAAATACTTACTGCATGATATCCTAGCAATAACAACAGTATTTTAAAATTTATTAAGTGGACAAAAGAAAAATGGTGAAAGCGTAAACATTTTAAATTTGTTTCCCGTCAAAATGATTAAGATTTTGCAGCTAGATTTTTTTGAATCATTTTAGCAACAATTAATTGTTCCTTTAATGCCAAATCTAATGAAACGTACAAATCAAATGACCGACACTTAAACGGTCTCGACGGGCTGGTACCCAAGATTGAGTGAAAAGCCTTAAGTATGCTAACCAACAACAAGTATGCCATATATTTCCTATTTCGCCTCTTCTCCACACAGAAAATCATCGAACGGGTCTTTTCCAGTGGAGTTAAGATCAGTGGGGCAAATGGGAATGAAAATGCTAATCTCTGCATCTTTTGCATGCAAGTTTACATTTTGGCATTGACAGCAAAATGTTAGCTTCTTTAGTTGCTATGATTAGTTTTAGCACCAGCTTACATCAGCCTTTGTACTGCTTCAAAACATTGTACCGAAACCACTCTTGCCCTGCAGTTATCTTTTCTACAAATTTAGCATACATTAGTAGTTTCTTATACTTAGAGAATGGAATGACTTCAATTGAGCAATTGATCTATTACTATTACATATGTTTATATAAAGAAACCTACTAGAATAACATCACATGGGATGACATTATAACTAAGATAAACTAACCACAACTCTAATTAACTACACAATATCACTAACTCAAACTGATGGCAGAGAAGGTAGTAGTCTCAGTTTGCCCAAGAATCGGGTGGACCACGTTGCAGCAACAATAAGCAATTAGCGAACAGTACCGGTAAAGTAACAAGGACTGACGGTGGCGCAAGAAAGAGAAGCGGCCCGACCGAAGGGAGGCTGACTGCGGCGCAAGAATGCAGCACTGACCGAAAGATATTGATGACGGTGCAAGAATGCAGCACTGACAGATGACTGATTGCGGGGCAATAATGCAGCACAACCGGAAGATGAGTTATAGAGGGGAGACGGTGATGTTGCTTTGTTGTGGACGGGGGTTATGTTGTGATTTTGTATTTTATTATGGACTCAATTGGAAAATGCAGAAATTATAGGACTTTCTTGAAAAAAGATAACCTAGAGGTCTTATTTGAAAATTTTTACAAAATAGAGGGGCTAAAAAAGAAAAATTTATAAATTGGCCAAATTGCCTAAACTTGACAGCAACGAGTGAGGGCCTGATGCTTTTTTTTTCACTGCAAAAGGGCTTTTTTTTTTATTGTGGCTGTCAGCAATAGGGAAGAAAAAAGGTGGGTTTTTTATTGTTTTTTGTGTTCTTTTGTGGCGGAAGAAAGGAAGAAAGTGTTGGGCTGGTCGTTCTCCTCAATTGGGCCAACAACAACAAGGAAAAATAAAACCAAGCTTAACTAGGCTTTGGTTTTGGGGTGTTTGACCGAGAAAAGGAAACCCACTTCTATAGAGTTTTGGGTTTTGTTTTTGATGCCTATAAAAGCAAGGCTTTGTGCACAATTTATGCATGATTTTCAGCCGAGAGAGAAGGAAAATTAGGGTAGCCGCGCAAGGGTTTTGTGCGAGAAAAAAAAGAAAGAAAGCTAGGGTTTAGTTTTCGGTTTAACTCTCTTTTGGTTAGATCCTTCCAATCCTACTTTATAGTTTAGGTGTGTGTGGAAGAGTATTGTTGTAATCCACCTTTGGGTGAAGGCCTGTGTATCCACCGGTTGGTGAAGATTGTTTCCCATTATTGTAAGAGTGGAGATTTGACTGTTGTTACAGTCCCGTGGTTTTTTTCGATTTGGGTTTCCACGTAAATTCGTGTGTCTCCTTTATTTTATCAATTCTCAAATTATTTTACTTGTTTGGTTATCCTATTTTATTAGTAGTGGGAAAGGGGATTTTCTTGGGGTTCGCTTCCGTAGTGTGTTGTGTTTATGCCCTTTCCGCCACATCAGGGGCATCAGAGCTACGGTTCGGTAGTTGAGGTGTTACACCAACAAAATGGAAGAGTCATCGGGTACTAGTACGATGATTAAATTGACTTCATCCAATTATCATATGTGGAAGCCTAGAATGGAAGATTTGTTATATTGCAAAAATTTGTTTGATCCTGTTCTAGGGGATGAAGGTAGGCCAAGTGATATGACTAATAAAAAGTGGCCTGATATGCACAGGAAAACTGTTTGTAATATTCAACAGTGGATTGATCAAAGTGTGTTTCATTACTTTTCGGGAGAAAAAAAAGTTGATGAACTTTGGGAGAAAATCCAGAATATGTACTGAAAGAAGTCCGGTATCAATAAGTCATCTGCGCTGAAACAGATTACCAGGTTGAGGTACAAAGATGGTGCTAGCATGAATGAGCACTTAAGTTTGTTTCAGGGTTTGTTGAACCAGGCAGTGAATGTAGGTTTAAAGTTAAATGATGAGGTGCAGGGTTTGTTGTTGTTCAGTTCTCTTCCAGATAGTTGAAACACTTTGGTAATGTCAATCAGTAATTCAACCCAGGATGGTGTCTTGACCTTGGATCAGGTCAAGGAGGCTTTGATGAATGAAGAAGTCAGAAGAAAAGAGCAGAGTATTGAGTCTGAGTCGCAGGCTCTGGTGACAGAAAAGTTAGATAGAAGAGGGAGAAGTAAAAGCAGAGGACGGTCCAGAGGACGGTCTAAGTCCAAGAAAGATGTCATGTGCTACTCAATGGAATGGGCACTTTAAGAGGGAGTGCAGTGTTCTCAAGAGGGAACTAGCAGCAAGAAAAAGTAAAGGCAAGAAGGATGAATCAAGTGATGATGACACTACTGTAGTAGTAACTACCAGTGATGTATTTGTGTATTGTGATGATGATACAATTTATGTTGCAAGTCACGACAGTGATTGGTTCGGTGATTCAGGTGCGTCTTATCACGTGATGCCTCACAGACACTTCTTTACCTCTTACACACCTGGAGATTTTGGTCG